GGGGAGGGGGGGGGCATGCGGCAGGCGCTCCGGGGGGGGGGGGGGGGTCACGCATGGCGGGGGACATGCCTCTCCACGGCATGATGGCCGGGAAAGTGGCATGTGCAGAAGTGGGGACATGCTTGTGCTTTTGCCACGGGCGGCAGCACGAGCATGCCGACAGCGGACATGACGGCGACGCTGCTACTGCTGCCGCCGCGCGAGGAGCAACTGATGCAGGGCGTCCAGCTCGGCGCATTCGGCCAGCAGGGAGTCCAGGCTCGCCTGCTCGGTGGCCAGCTGGGCCGCCAGGGTGGCCTGCGACTCGGGCGAGGCGCCGGCGGCAGCGGCCAGCACCCCGGCCTGGCGAGCGACACGCTCCCGAAGCCCCTGCGCCTTGGCCTCGGCCCGAGACCGCTGCTTGGAAACATGCTCCAGGGCTTGGTCCAGCGAGGGGCCCGGGCCGAGGAGGAGATGCAGCGACAGCGGCGCCGGGGGGCCGCCGGCGCCCGGCTCCCCCAGGGCGGCATCCACCGGGCCCGCCGAAGCCCCCTCCGTGGGAGCATCCTCATCGGCCGCCGGGGACCAGGTCAAATGCACCGGCAGCGAAGCCACCGCATTGGCCGGCACGGGGCATGCCTCCTGCAGCAGCAGCTCCCCGATGCGGCCCCAGTGCATCGCATCGGCCAGGAGCCCGGTGTCCAAGTCCCGCAGGGTGGCCCAGGCCCCCTGGATCAGGTCCGCACCCTCCAGAGTGGGGCCCATGCTGGCATCGTAGCGGAGGACAAACTGGCAGCCACGGTCGCCGGCACTCAGGCCCAGATGCCGGCGAAGGGCGCGCGCCTGGCTGACCACCCGGCAGGCCAGCTCCACGGCCGCCGCTTCGGGGGTCACCGCGGCCCCGGCGACCGGGGATTCGCCCAGCCAGGCGGCCGCGGCGTCGGCCGCCGCCCGGGCCACCCCCGCTCCGAAGGCCGCCCCCGACACCGGGGCCTCCAGCGTCGGGAAGGAGGCATGGCCGATGGAGGGCAGGCTGCCGGCCGGGTCGGCCAGCAGGTGCTCCCCCTCCGGGCCCAGCCCCGGCGCCTGGCTCAGCACGCGCCCGGCCCCGGTGTCCAGATGGGGCCAAAGCTCCTCGGTGATGAAGGGGGCGAAGGGATGCAACGCGCGGACATACGCCTCGAGCAGGGCACGCGCCAGGGCCGGATGGCTACGAGCGACAGCCGGCCGGCCGGCGGCCTGGTCTCCCGGCTGCGAGGCATCGGTGGCCTCGGCCGACTTGACCAGCTCCAGGTAGGTGTCGCAGAAGTCCCCGCGCAGGAAGGTCCGCAGGGCACGGACCGCCTGCTCCAGGCGGAAGGGCTGATACTGGGCCTGGGTCACGGCCGCCAGGCAGCCAGCCCACCGCTGGAGGATCCACCGGTCGTACAGGCCGACCGACGTCCCGGGGCCCAGGGCATCAAGATCGGCCGCCTCCAGGGGGCGCATGCTGATGAAGCGCGCCGCGCTCCAAAGCTTGGCCATCCACGCCCGGGCATCGGTCACGGCCGCCGGGTCCAGGGAAATGGCATCCGACCCGGAGGTGGCCCCGAGCCCCAGCAGCCCCAAGCGCAGGGCATCGGCCCCGCACGCGGGCAGGCCTTTGGGGAAGCGCCGGCGCAGGTCCCCGGCGGCCAGGGCCCGCTCGGCCGCCGACAGGGCATGGGCCTCCTCCAGCCCGGCCAGCGGCTCGGCCAGCTCCGCGCCACGGATGAACCACAGCGGGTCCAGCACATTGCCCAGGGACTTGGACATTTTGCGCCCGCGCGCGTCGCGGACCAGCCCATGAAGGAGGATCGAATCGAAGGGCCGCCCGGTGGCCGGGTGCCCGGGCTCCGACGCCCCGAGCGACCCGCACAGCATCAGCATGCGCGCCACCCAGAAGAAGAGGATGTCGGCACCGGTCTCCATCACCTGGATGGGGGCCTGCTGCCGGGCCGAGGCCGCTGCCCCGGGCCCCGGCGGCAGGGCCCACAGGAGTGGCTCCCCGGGGCCCGGGTCGGCCGGGTGCCCGGCCAGCACCGGCACCACCGCCGACGCCGGAAGCAACCCCGAGGAGAACCACGTATCCAGGACATCGGCATCGCGCTCGAGGGCGAAGTCGACCCCAGGCCGGCCGGTGGCCGCCAAGTGCCGCTCGGCCGCCGCCCGGGCCGCTGCCTCGTCGGTGGCCACGACCCACGGGCCGTCGGCCGCTTCGAGGACCGTGGCCACCGGGCCGGCCCCGGAGACAGCGGGATTCGGCTCACCACCCGGGCCAGGGGAGCCGGCCCGATCGGCCGCCCCGGCGGTCGGAGACACATCCAGGCGGATGCGCCACGCCGGGACCTGGTGGCCCCACCAGATCTGCCGCGAGACACACCAGTCGTGGATGCGCTCGCCCGACTCGTCGCCAGTCCAGCCGCGCCAGGTGGCACGGTGTCGCTCCGGATGGATGGCCACCGAGCCGCGGGCACCGGCGGCGGCCACGGACGCGGCCTCCGCGCCAGGCCGCCCGAGGCCAATGTCACAGGCGGCATGGGACCCGTCGCCGACCAGGGCGCCAGCCCGCGCGGCAGGGCGCCCCGCCCGGACGAACCACTGCGGCACCAGGCGCGGCTCGATCAGGTCCCCGGTGCGCGAACACACGGCCAGCGTCTGCGCATGGGCCGTCACCTCGACCGGGTGGCCGGTCTGGCGAAGGCGATCAAGCACGCGCGTGCGCGCGTCCAGCCGGTCCAAGCCCTCGAGCTGGTCCAGCCATGCCAGGAAGGCCGGCCAGTGGGCCGGGCCATCGGCCGGCGTGGGCATCGGCAGCGCCCGGACCGGGGCCAGGGCCATTCGACCGGCCTCATCGAACAGCTGGAAGATCTCCCCCTGGGGGAGGGCCCCCGGGCCCGGGCCGGTGAGCCCCACACGCCGGCAGGCTTCCCAATCGGCCGGATCATGCATCGGGGTCAGCTTGACCACGCCGGTGCCCCGGGCCGGGTCAACCAACTGGGCATCGGCCACCACCGGCAGCTGCCGGCTGCCAGCCGGGAAGAGCGGGTGCCACACCCGCCGCCCAATGAGATCCCGATAGCGCGGGTCTTCCGGATGCACGGCCAGCGCCACGTCCGCCAGCATGGTTTCCGGCCGGGTGGTGGCCACCGGCAGGGCCCGGGACTCCGGTCCGGAGCCCACCAGCGGAAAGTCCACCACATACATCTCGCCCACTCGGCGAGGGGTCCCGGCCACCGGGAGGTCGGTCGGCCCGGGCACCGTGACCGAGTCCACTTCCAGGTCGCTGAGGGCCGTCCCCAAGCGCGGGGACCAGTGGACCAGGCGCTCGGCCCGGTACACCTCCCCCTGGCCGGCCAGGCGGACAAAGGCCTCGGTCACATAGCGCGACCGGCCCGGGTCCAGGGTGAAGTACTCGTGCTGCCAGTCGAGGCTGGCCCCGAGCCGGGCCAGCTGCCCGGTGATCCGGGCCCCATACAGCTCCCGCCACTGGTGGACCTCGGCCAGGAAGGCCTCCCGGCCGAGGTGCTCGCGAACCAGGCGCCCGGAGCCCGGGTCCACCGCCGGGCGGCCCCCACCGGCGGGGGGCTGCTTCCGACGGTGGGAAAGCTCGCCACGCAGCCGGTGTGACAGGTGTCGCTCCACCACCGCCTGGGTGGCCAGCCCCGCATGGTCGGTGCCCGGGATCCAGTGCACCCGGAAGCCGCTCATGCGCCGGTGCCGGGCCAGGGCATCCTGCACGGCCACCGTCAAGGCGTGGCCCAGGTGCAGGGCCCCGGTGACATTCGGCGGCGGCAGCAGCATGGTAAACCGCGGCCGGGGGTCTGGAGAAAGGGGTCCGGTGTGGTGGACAGTCAGCCCGGCAGTCAAGGAGGAAGACCCAAGCCCGGACCGGGCATGCACGCGCACGCACCATCAATGGCCGCCGGAGCGCCCGGGGGCTGGGCATTCCGTCGGGCCCACCACTCGGGCCAGTGGCGCTCGACCTCGGCCGGCTCGTACCGGGCCGACAGCGGCCGGAAGGGCCGCACGGTGTCCCGCGGCAGGGAGCTCCAATAGGTCGGCCCCGCGGCCGGGGCATCCGCCGGCCTGACCGGCCCGGTGGACAGCGGCCGCCAAGCCGCCAGCGGTGCGCCCACCGCCCGCGCCGCCAGCGAGGGCTGGTGCACATGGGGCCGGGCAAAAAGCGGGCCGGGACGCAGGCGCGCGCCGGCTCGGAGCTGCTGCAGCATGGCTCGGGCTCCGGGCGGGAGGGGAGGCAGAGGGCCGGAGAGGAAGGGGCCGGAGAGGAGGGGGCAGGGAAAGGCAAAGCAGCCCACACGAGCAAGGCACAAGCAAGGCGAAGAGGGAAGTGGGGGGGGGGAAAAAAAAACAGGCCCCCAGGAAAAGGCTGGGAATGGAGCTGGCTGGAGCACGAAGCCGGGGCGCCCCGGCCCTCGGGACGCCCGTGCCCTAAAAAAAGGGCGGACCGTCCGCGCCCCTTCTTTTGCTTGTGTGTGTTTGTGTGTTTGTTTTTTCGTGTGTGTGTTTGTTTGTGTTTGTTTGTTTGGGTGTGTTGTTGTGCGTGTGCGGACCCCGCCTCGCCCCGGGCCATTCCGGCTGGCAGTGATGGGGCCCTTTGCCCAGGCCCCGGAAGCTCCTCTCTCCCGCCCCCTCCCAAGATTGGAAGCGGAGTTCCTCCCCCCCCCGCTCGGCCGCTTGCTTGTCCCTCTTCTCTGAGGCGCGCCCGGGCCTCGCTAGCGGCGGCGCAGGGGCCGCGCGAGAACCGGAGAACCAGCCCACCCCGGAGTGCAGCGCCGGGGTCCGGAGATGCGCGGTGTTCGCGGCGGTGGGGGAGAGATTTGTCGTCCCACCGGAGGCCAGCCTTCCCCGCCAATGATCGGCCCACCCCTTTGGTCGGCCCCCCCCCCCGCGCGCGCTCATCACTCCTCCTCCGCCCCGCCCCCCCCCCCCGCCCCACCTGCCATCCCCCCGAAGACGATGGCCATGCTCTATCACGGAATAGAGGGGGAGGGGACCTAGCAACACGCGGCGCGGTACGTTGGCACAGCGAGCGAATGGACAAAAAATCGGGGAACACCGGGAATCGAACCCGGAACCTCTCGCACCCAAAGCGAGAATCATACCATTAGACTATGTTCGAGATTCGAACCTCCAATAGGTCTATTTAATCCTGTTCAGGAATCGGAGCTCCCCGCGTCTCGCCACCGTCCGCCCCTCCGCCCGGCGGAACCCGGCAGGCCGCGCTCCTCGCCATGGGCCTCTGGCACCTGGGCGCACCGGGGCCGCGAGGCCCCCCCCCCCCCCCCTGCGAAAAGAAGCCAAGACCGTGCTGTCCCCATCCCCGGAACCGGGCCTCCCTCGGGCCGGTCTCCTGCCATCTCCAAGCGCCCGGACGACCTCCGGAACTGGCAACATGCAGATGGCCGGGGCCGGGGGGCGGGGGCAGGGTGGTGCAGGGGGCATGTGGGAGCATGGCACACAAAAGGTGCCACCCTCGCACACGCCCGCACTGGCAGAATACAAGCTGCACATGGTGGAATCTATGGATGTGTATTTTTCCCCGGCTGCCAGAGAGGGAGACCACATGATGCCGTGCGCGCCACACAGGGGAGTGCGTGTGCATGTGCCGCAAGGAGAGGGTATGTAAACAAGGAGGGGAGATGCCATCGGCACACAGGGCACAGGGTGCTTCACCCTCGGCATGCCGGAAGGGAGAGGGGAGAGGGAGGAACGGGAGA